TGGAAGCATGGTAGCGACCGTATAGCTAAGCAAGAAATTTTGAATCGAAGAAGAAATAATAATATTGAGTTCATGGCTGACACCACCGTACATGCATTGCTCTCCAATACCCGCTAATTTTTTAAAAGGGTCAAGATGGATATTGCATAAAATCTGGTCCCGTAAGAGGTACTTAATTTAAATCAATATTTATAAATATATGGTTACAGAAGCCGAAACCAACAAAAAAGTTAGTTCGATAGATTTTTATGCGTATCACATCATGATTCGACACGGTCAAGGAAATGTCATTCTTCGATGTCGTGAGCTTTTCTTCCAAATCGTTGTTGACATGTATTTTCATTTCAAAACAAAATTTAATTCTCTAATGAGCTTCATTAAAAAATTACAAGTATTCGGTTTCACACATGGCTGGATGTATGATGGATAATGATGAATGGCAAAAGCTAGAATTACTTCATGCACGCATTTCGATGTGTTTAATCAACCAAATATGTCTTGAGACAATCGATAGTACAATTTCAGCGGGAATTCCAGATCCGTCTACTGACCAGCTACTGCCGTATATCCAATATATCGTCAAATAAATACCAATAATGGCGGACAATCATTTAAAATTATATATTTATATCTACTGAAGGTGTCACTTAACTTAATAACGTCAGAAGAATTCAGTTTCACACTCAACATGATGTACGAATTGAGCAATAGGCGTAGCACGCTCACTTTTAGGCGAAATATTATATTTCAGGAACTACTGCACTACTATCAACCAAATTTGGTGCATAATATTGTGCTGATATTCTTAAGTTATGTTGTTAAACCGGTCTACACCTATCTCATATACTCACACATAATCTCAATTTGAAATTACATTGGATTCTTTTACTATAGAGTATGTGAATCAAGTACAAATAAAGATATAAAAATAAAACTGTCCACCTCATGTCTAAAAATTGTCGCAATCGGAGCGTAAATTTTGAAGTTGCCAGATACCGAAAAGGTGGTCCTCAGTGCCTATGGTTAACTTTTTAGCAAAAGTATGGGTACCCGCGAGATGTATTATTTAAATTTTCTGATAACAATATGAAATTCTTTTCTACCCCCATATAAATATTTAATATAAAGATCCGATTGACTTTATACCGTATGCATGGGCCAATATGTAAGACGACTTGGAAAAATTAAGTGAACGTACTATAGTTTAATGCTAAAAATGTTTGAAATCGGCCTAAGAATTACGCAAGTTTTCATATACTACACATAGAGCTTTTCGTTATTTTAGTAAGCCGAATATGTATGTCAGTCATTGTTTGAGTTATTTTCATAAAATTGCCTTAAACCTTGAATGTTGGACAATATGAATGGTATTTCAATGAAATGAACGGAACGTGTTCTTAAACATAATGTGGTTTAGCACTGAATAAAAATCAACTCGTTTTAAACCTAATATCCCTAATATGATAATTTCCGATTTCATGGTTGACTCTTTCCTCGTATGCTTGATACGCTTATCTAAAATCACACATACCTAACTTGAGTTAATTAGGTTGAATTTTACGTGAATATCGCAGACACGAACCAATAGATACGAATAAAACTAAGTGAGCCTAAGACCTATAATATAAGTTAAAATGATGTTATACATATGATATATTATTGTAATATATTCACGGTTTCATCGAATAAGGAAGGATGAATTCTGATGCACCATTTTAATACTCTAACAAAATGTTACTACATAGTATAACAGTTTGGTTCACCTAACGGTTGTTTGTAACACCTAAAACAAATCGAGATAGATATAGAGATATATATATACATATATCAATGATCAGGAGGACGAATCGAGTCAAGCGATAACTTGAGTAAAATCTTGATGAAACTCGGTACACGTGCTCCTTGGTTGGTTTGCAGATGGGCAGAATTGGACTATTGCCACGCCCACAAAATGTCATTAATTGAAAACTTATAAAGTGCCATAACTAAGCTCCAAATAAGGAAACAAAACTGTAATTTGGATCGTTGTGGTGAGGGGCATCTGTATGCTGAAAGTTTTCAAAATATGAGTATAGCCCTGCATCCTAATAGATTTAATGTACATATGTATATCACCAACCATATGAGCTATATCGACCAATCTTTCTAAAGTAATTCTTTTGATACCTCCTTAAGAATGGCGGAAATGGATGATAATCACATCCACTCCCCCTATAACAGTTATGTTGAAAACTGCTAAAAGTGCGATAACTCCCTAAATAAATACGTCAGAAGAATAAAATCTTACAGCTTAAATGGAACTTAACCATTTCAAGGGATGCGTTGTAAACATTGGACGAGGGGCGGGGCATTGCCCACCTTTAGGTGAAATTCCATAACTCAGGAACTACTCCACCAGTTTCAGCAGAACTCGGTGCGTAGTATTATTTTTGTATCCTTTTATCACAGTGTGAAATTGGGCTAGAACTACGCCTACTTCCCATATATCACAATTTTAAATTCAATATGATTTTTAACTATACAGTATATAAATTGAGAATCAATGACGTTATCGAAAAAAAACTTTGCACACAAAGAGTATTTAAGGCATGCAGTTTCAGGTTCAAAAATTGTCGAAATCGGATAAATATACAAGTTCTCAGATACCGATCCGATCAGAAAATACAAATGAACCTCATGGTTGACTTTTTACCGGAAATATCGGTCAATCTGCGAGGTCTCCCGTAGCCTCCTTTATACTAAATAGGTAGAAAGATTTTCGACTTCCGGTTGAGCTTATACCGTATTACCGAATATATTAATGAAATTAAGTGGACTTCTAAAAAAGAATGTGGTTTAGTGTTACATGTAAGTCCAATTAGTCTTGACCTTCACCTAAACTTCATATCGATAATATAATGACTTCCGATTTGGTTTCTTCTTCCTCATATACCCAATATTTTAAATGTAGCCTATTTAGATGAGTTTATACCACATATATCTCATTTGAGTTAATTACGATGTTTTTAAAAAAAAATTTGCGGACACGAAGCAAAACGTAGTGATGAAACTAAGTGAGTTTGCTACTTATAATATAATTTAGTAAAATAATGCTTGTTGAAGGTATTTCTTCGGCTTTGTTCCTTACAAGTTACGAAAGAATAAATTGTTCGGTTACACCCGAACTAAGCCCTTCCTTACCTATTCAATATCAAGTTTTGCAGCACCTTTGAGCCTTACAAATTGCGAGTGTATAAAATGTTTGGTTACACGTAAACTTAGCACTTTCTTACTTGTTATACTCTCGCAACCTGTTGCTACAGAGTATAATAGTTTTGTTCACCTAACGGTTGTTTGTACGAGGGCTGCTATATAGCTGTCTGGCCTAGGCAACACTAAGTGTTGCCAGGTGCAATCTGACATTTCCATTGGAAAGTTTGACAATTTTTAGCATAACATCACTCAGAACGTTTTGTCATTTAATCGTGAATTGTTTTATTTACAGGGAATTAAAAAATTCATCTCGGCCAACAAATGGAAATAACTCGTGAACATTTTCGTGCGATCATTTTTCACAACTTTCGACGTGGATTATCACGACAAGAGTGAATCGATGAACTAAAATCTTTGTATGGCTATGAAGCACCATCTATATATACAGCGAATTTAATCGTGACCGACGCTCGCTCAAAGACGAATTCCGTGAAGGTCGTCCAAAAACAGCCGTTGTGCCAGAAAACATCGATGCCGTACGTGAACTGATAATGCAAGACCGTCATGTAACATACCTTCAGATAGAGGCATGCCTATGCATTTCTGCCACCAGCATACATTCGATATTGCATGAACACCTGGCCATAAAAAAGGTTTGTTCTTGTTGGATCCCGCACAATTTGACAATCGCTCAAAAAAAGGCTCGTGTGGATAGGTGTAAACAAATGCTGAAAAAATACGATCGCGATGCTTCAAAAGACGTTTATAAGATCGTCACAGAATCATGGATCTATGCGTATGAGCCCGAAACAAAACAGCACAAAACAGCAATCGACCGAAAAAAAAAAACATTTTCGTTGATAAATATTCGTTATTTCATTAGGCCAGAAATATATATAGCAGCCCTCGTATCACCTAAAACTAATCGAGTTAGATATAGGGTTATGTATATATCAATGATCAGGATGAAGAGACGAGTTGAAAGCCGGGTGACTGTCTGTCCGTCCGTCCGTCCGTCCGTGCAAGCTCTAACTTGAGTAAAAATTGAGATATCTTTATGAAACTTGGTAGACATGTTTCTTGGTACCGTGAGACGGTTGGTATTGCAGATGGGCGTAATCGGACCACTGCCACGCCCACAAAACGCCATTATTAAAAAACAAATAAATTGCCATAACTAAGCTCCGCAATAAGATACAAGACTGTTATTTGGTAAACAGCATCACCTTAGGGAGGGGCATCTGCAGTTGAAATTTTTTTTTAAAGTGGGCGTGGTCCCGCCACTAATAGGTTTAATGTGCATGTCTCCTAAACCGCTAATGCTATAATAACAAACTTCACTGGAAGTAAATTTTTTTTAGAACCTCTACCTACAGTGTTATAATAGTTGAAATCGGGTGGCAACTCCGCCCACACCCCATATAACGGTACTGTTAAAAACTACTAAAAGCGTGATAAATCAAGGACTAAACACGGCAGAGACATTAAATTTTATCTCTAGGACTGTGTGAGATGATTTTATGGGAACCGCGTTCAAAATTAGACAGTAGGCATGGCACAGCCCACTTTTAGGTGAAAACCCATATCTTGAGATCTGCTTAACCAATTTCAATCAAATTCGGTACATAACATTATTCTTATCGGTATATATATTATTGTTTGTATAAATTCTATTACTTTCATTTCACTCGCCAGAAATCCTTTAATCTCCCAATGTATGATTTTTGGGGTTGTAACAGTTCGGTTTATCTCCGGGGTTTCAGAGACTTTTAAATTATTTAATTAAAATTATTTTCTCTATTTCATAGACACATCAATCACCACAAGCTATTTTCACAAGTTTCAAGCTGGAGAAAAATGCAGCGCCCAATGATTCTCTCACTTCAATAAATGACAAACAAATATTTGATTACGATGGTGCTTTTCGTAACGCCGTAAAAATGCTGGCAATACCTGCAAAAGTTAGACCGCGTTTTGCGGTTGATCCACAATTACCTATGGATTCCACCACCGATAGCACTGTAAAATTGGAAAAGCAAGAAGAAAAAAATTTTCCCCGCATAATCGCGGAGAATGACGATGATTTCCTCCATTTAAATCCTGACGATGAAGTGGACTTGAAAAGTGCAGATCATAAAACAGTGTGCGAGTTCATGCAAAAGCTGGAGGCTAAAATGGCTCCGGTAGCACAAAGGCATACTGAAGAGACAACAACAATGGAGACATCGTTGAGGTTTATGAAACGAGAGATCGAAGCTTTAAATGAAGAGCATGATAAACCCAGTCATTATCGGAATAATGTAATATTGAACACTCGAGATTTGGAATATAGAGATGAATATATTCACATAATTCCCACCAGTTCTCAACAAACGGTAACTGTTTAATATATGCTACATAAGCTTCATACAACTGTATCCGATAAGAAATAAGAAGAATTTATTTTTTGGCATCAACTAAGGATGTTCAAGAAAAATCGCTTAATCGCGCGGTCAATGCGCTTAACCAAAATGTCTTAATGAATCAAATTCGGTTCGAAACCAACAAAATGTTCGCTAAGAAGCTTTCACTGATGCAGTACCAATTTAATGATTTAATATTGTGTTACAATAGTAAGAATTTTCATCTTACTAATACGCCTTAATATATTTTTGGGATTGAAAATAACTAACCTTTCTAGTTTCAATAGCAAAAAAAAATTGCTAATTGCTTCTGTTTAACTTCTTTTAGTCATTTATGGTTATATACACTATTCAAAGAGAATAAATGAAAAAAAAACAAGTAAGGAAGGGCTAAGTTCGGATGTAACCGAACATTTTATACTCTCGCAAAGTCAAATGGTATACTCGTTTGAGATTTCTTTGTGGATTGACTGATATTTTCGGTAGAAGGTCAACTATAGGCACTGGGGTCCATATATTTAGTACTTAGGGGTTTGAACAGTTTTGGTTCGATTTAGACATTTTTTGGCCGCAAGGTGGCATACTTTAAAGGTGTTATTCACGCAAAGTTTTACGCCGATATAATCACTGTTGCTTGATTTGCATAGTGGAAAGTGAAAGAATCAAGTGGTATTTAAAATGGTGTCATATGGAAAATAGGCGTGGTTGTAATCCGATTTTCGCACTATGACATAGAAACATGAAAATAACGTTACACACCGAATTTGGTTGAAATCGGTTAAGCAGATCTCAAGATATGGGTTTTCACCTAAAAGTGGGCTGTGCCACGCCCACTAATAAGTTTAATGTGCATATCTCCTAAGCCGCTAAAGCTATAATAACCAAATTCACTAGAATCAAATTGTTTTAGCACCTCTATTGACGGTGTGAAAATGGGTGAAATGGGGTGACAAACCCGCCCACTCCCCATATAACGGTACTGTTAAAAACTACTAAAAGCGCGATAAATCAAGCACTAAACACGCCAGAGACATTAAATTTTATCTCTGAGATGGTATAAGATGACTTTATAGGAACCGCGTTCAAAATTAGACAGTGGGCGTGGTACCGCTCACTTTTAGGAGAAAACCCATATCTTGGGATCTGCTTAACCGATTTCAGCCAAATTCGTCGCATAACGTTCTTTTCATATTTTTATGTTATAGTGCGGAAATGGACGAAATCGGACTACAACCACGCCTATTTCCCATATAACACCATTTTCAATTCCATCTTATTTTCTCACTTTCCACTATGCGTATCAAGCAACAATGATTATATCGGTGTAAACTTTTCGTGAATAATACGTTTAAAGTATGCCACCTTGTGACCAAAAATTGTCTAAATCGAACCAAAACTGTTCAAGCCCCTAAGTACTAAATATGTGGACCCCAGTGCTTATAGTTGACCTTCTACCGAAAAAATCAGTCAATCCACAAAGAAATCTCAAACGAGTATACCATTTGACTTTGCGAGAGTATAAAATGTTCGGTTACATCCAAACTTAGCCCTTCCTTACTTGTTTTTACTTTATTATATACTCAAACTATTGGTCAAGTAAAAAGTTCGTTCGTTTTTTTTTTTTTATTGATTTTTCAAAAGATAATAACTTTGTGTACATTTGTCCGTATTAAGTTAAATATGCGACGTTTTGTTTGCAAACTTGTTGCCAATGAGATGCCACCTTCATTATACCCCTCTCGTAGAAGGCTGCGTCCCTATTGGCAAAAAATTTGGAGAGCCAATTTTCACAGGCCTCTCTTGAGGCCAACCTCTCACCGAGCTCCCGAAGCTTCTGGCGTGTCACCAAAGACGTGTGTGGCCTGGCGTTGTCATGATGGAACACAATTCGGCCTCTGTTGATCAAAGATGGCCTCTTCTGGATGAGTGCTGCCTTCAAGCGGTCCAGTTGTTGGCAGTAGAGGGCCGAATTGAGCGTTTGGTCATAGGGGAGCAGCTCGTAGTAGATGATTCCTTGCCAATCCCACCAAACACACAGCAAAACCCTCCTGGCCGTCAATCCGGTCTGAGCGGCTTCCCCGTTTGCGCTCGATGTTGTCGTAAGTTACCCATTTTTTATCGCCTGTCACAATCCGATTCAGAAACGGGTCGATTTTGTTGCTATTCAGCAGCGGTTCGCAGATGAAAATTCGGTCTATCAAGTTTTTTTTGCGTTAGTTCTTGTGGCACCCAAACATCGAGCTTCTTTTTAAATCCAAAGTTATGCAAATGGTTCCAAACGGTTTTCTGGTTTATCTTAGTTCCTCAGCAATTAAATAAGTGCTCACGTCTGTTTCCACTATTTCCATGATTTTATCGCAATTTTCGACGACAGGCCTCGCGACGCGTGGTGCATCTTTGACATCGGAATTATCGGAACGGAACCTAGTAAACCACTTTTGTGCTACACATTCGTTTACAGTATCGGGCCCATAAACTAAATTAATTTTTTCAGCCGCTTTGGCTGCTTTTTCGCCTTGATCGTAGAAAAATTGTAAAATATAGCGAATTTTCTTTTTGCTGGTGTCCATCTTTGACGAGCGCTCACAACATACTGAGTCAATCAATCGAAAAACTGTCAAAAACAAGCTTTTAGCGTTTTAGCGTAAACACGTTTTTAGCGCCGTATAGTATTACATGATGCGACACGTAACACTAGTACTATGGAAAATAACGCCATATCTTAGATAAAAACCGAACGAACTTTTTACTTTGCCAATAAATGGGTCCAAGAGCGTGAAATGACATATAATTGGTTTGCATAAATTGGTGAAGGATATTGTCTGAAAATTACATTGTTTTATAAGCTTGTTCAATAAGTATGATTTGTCTATTTCACAAATATTTGTTTTCTGTTTTCCTAATATAAGTCTGTACAACATTTGAAAGATAATGAGTCAGTTAGCTTACCAAGCAGTAGAGATAACCTGCTGGATTATGAAGGCACAAAAGCACATACTTTCAAAAAAGTTCCAGGTAAATATATATTAAAACTCATCATCAATTCCATATTTATAAATGTATATATGAAAATATCTCTGTTCCGCTTTCGGACTGTTCTGGTAGTCAAAGTGAAAATATAAGATTTAATTTTTATATTATATGTATCAATGTCATTTGATGTCTAACTTTAAGTGCGTATAAGTTCTAAAGTATTGTTTTAATGGAAAAAATCATTAAGATCTTTTCTGTAGAGCGCTATATTTTATATCGGGTTTTCCAATAGGGATGATATGATTTCTAAGTGTCGTTTCGACCATTTTTAATGTCATGATCTGTAATTTTTATACTCTCGCCTCTCGTCTGTCCATCTGTCCGTCTGTGCAAGCTGTAACTTGACTAAAAATTGGATATCTTTATGAAACTTGGTACACATGTTTTTCGGTCTGGTGGAATCATCGGTCCGTACTTCTTTCGAAATGAAGCATGTGATACCGTTACTGTCTATGGAGACGGTATAGATCGATGATAACCAACTTTTTTAATAATAATAATAACCCAACGATTACCCTCCTCCCGCCCAACCGACGCGAGGGTCGCAATCCGCATACGTGCGGAATTAGCCGAGTCAGAAAAGGCAAGAGAGTTTTTTAAGTGTTGAGATCTAAAACTGCTCAGCTAAAGAAACAAAACTTTCAGCAGCTAAGATTTATAGTTACAATATAATAAACTGTTACATTTTCATTCAATAAGAGAAAACAATAAAGTCTTTTTAATTTTGAAAAGTGAGTCAGATAAGTCAAATGTGCTGAAATGAGAATTAAAACCATGACATATACGGCGGAATGGCTCGTTTAGTTCAAAATTTGATCTACAGGATTTTAACAGTAAAGGTCTAAACTGCCTCGAAAAGCGAATCGGGATATTAAATTTAATTTCAGACAGGAGAAAAGAACTGCAAACTGTTCCATTAAAAATTTTAACTAAGAATATTATGCCAAGCATTTCCCTACGACTAAAAAGTGTAGGTTTCTTTAAACGACTGTAGGTAGTTTTAAACGACTAGTGTATGGAGGTAGACTTATCCTAGAATCCCATCGGAAATGCGCTAAGGCGAAAAGTAAAAATTGTTTTTGAACAGACTCTAACTTGTCAGAATGGATTTGGTAGTTAGGGTTCTATACAACAGTTCCATACAACAGAGCCATATTCTAACCAAAGTTGTATACAGTGTTTTAGTAATATCCGGATCTCTAAATTCTTTAGACCAACGTTTAACAAAATTGAGGACAGCTTTTGCTATCAAGACCATGGTGTCGATATGAAGACAAAAATTAAGCTTAGGGTCCATATTAACTCCCAAATCAACATAGTTAAAAACTTGCTCCAGAATATGGTGTTTTATTACATAAGTAGAGGGATGCACAGATCTACGGGAAAAGCACATCGTCTTACATTTATTCAGATTCAGTGGCAAATCATTTCTATCACACCATGCAATCATATTGTTTAAATCTGTTTGCAACAGACACCTTTCCTCAGTTGAAGTGCAAAAGCTTTACGTCGTCAGCGTATAATAAAATTTTTGAGAATTCAATTACTGAAGAGATATCGTTAATAAACAACAAGAACAGAATCGGGCCAAGATGTATCCTCAAATATCACTCGTTGTGTTCTATTATAAAGATAGGAAGCTACCCATTGAAGAAATCTTGGCTGAAAGCCCAGCAGATCAAGTTTATGTATGAGAATCGAGAGGTTTATTTTATCGAAAGCTTTGCTAAAGTCTGTGTATATAACATCCGTATGCTTATGTTACTAAAACCGAATGATACATGGTTTACAAATTCAAGCAAGTTCGTTAGAGTCGATTTCCCTTTACGAAATCCATGCTGAGATAAGGAAGTTAACGGAGAAATCGAAAAGGTTATATGGTCAGTGATGATAGCTTCAAAAAGTTTAGGTATAACTGATAGTTTTGCGATACCTCTATAGTTTTCAATGTTGGATCTAAGTCCACTTTTATGCAAAGGAATTATAAATGACTGTTTCAATATTGGAAATATACCGTGTTTAAGAGAGGAATTAAATATCCTTGTCAAAAGCAAGTAAATATATTTGGCACTATTTTTTAGGAAGCATGAGGGTATCATGTCTGGGCCGTAACTAAAAGATGGTTTTAACTTATTTAATTTAGGTAGGACGTCTTCTTCAGAAATAATTGATGCGTTAATTAAAGTATTCGAACACAGCACGTGCTGATAAGAAAAAGTTATGGAAGAATTATTACAGTAGTTTGACTTGAAAAATTCTGCAAACCTATTGGATATAATAACATTGTCAGTTGAAATGATAGATTTGTATTTCATCGCGGACGGAAATTTGGAAATCCTGCGTTTGGAGTTGACGAAATCATAAAACGATTTTTTATTACTTACAACATTCTTTTTTACTTTATTTAAGTAATTATTATAACATTTTTTTTTAGATCAAAATATAGTCGACACAATACAGAATATTTAGAATAGTCGACAAGTGAACCGGTTTTTTTAGAATGTTTAAAGGCTCGAGTTTTTCTGTTTTTCAATTTATGTAACTCTTTCGAAGACCACGGACTTCTACTTCTACTTTTACTTCTATTAACAATTACTATTGGAACATACTTTTCAAATAATTTCGTCAATTCAATTCAATATCACCATGATATTGTAGAAAGTTCTGTATTTTACTTTTTAAAATTAGCTTTTGCAAAGGTGAACCGGGGACGGAAGCACGATTTTGAAGTCTACGGTAAATTGAAATCTCCTAATACGATTATTGAATCTGCATTATTTGCCATCGAAGTAGCACTATCTATTAAAGAAGCATGCTGGCATGTATACATATAAGTCCGAATTGGGTGGTATATAAGACAGGGTTAAATAATTAAAGCAACAATTAACATAGACTCTAATACATTTAAATTCAAATGAGTCGGTTCCTGGAACAAGAACATCTTCAGATGGGATAGCGGCAAATAGAACAACCCACCGATTCTGTTAAGTCGATCACATCTAAATATTTAAAATTCGCTGCTTAAAATCTCATTATCAAAAATATGAGGTTTTAACCATGTTTCTGTAAATCCAATTATATGGAAATTAAAATTGGAACTGTTTAAATTCAATTCGGTTAATTTTGTATTAAGACCTCTAACATTTTGATAATAAATGCTTAACGAATTTTTACCAATCAGTTTTTTATATCGGTGGTTGCTTTTGGTAATTTAGCAATGTTTTCCTCAGTTTGACTTCTAAGTTTAGGCTTAAATTCACGTACAAAAGCCCCAGGTGGAGAGAATGAACTATCTAAGATCTTTTTGAATGTTTAAAGAGATACGTATATTTTAAACGATGATATAATTCTATCATAATTGAAGTTAATTTTACGGATATTGATATCATAAATTTTTAAACGTGACGAAATGTAAGACTTAATGTCCTCCACGAAGGTATCTTTGGCAAGGCTAGAAATAAATATAGACTTTTTAGGTGGAATAACTACCAAATTTTTAATAGATGTTACTAAGTTATTAGGGGGAGCCTCTGGAATTGTGAGACACTTATTACTATTAGATAGAGCTTTTGGGGAATTGAGCTCTTCGGAAGTTTACGGCTTATCAATGGGTCATTTCTGTACAGAATAACTAGGAAGGACGTTTACGCTTACGAGCAGGTTTGGAGGATTCATGAGAATCAGATTTTAACAATTTTTCGTAGTGCCTAAATTTTTCAGTGAGAGTTACAAGATCTCGACCGATTTCGTTAAAGCCATTGCGTGTCTCGCTATAAACCAGCATGAAACATAGCGATCTGACTCGCCTTTAATGTTACAATTGGGGAAGTTACAAGACATAATAAACAACAAGAATGAAGATTAAATAAAAGAGTATGTAAAACAAAATTAAATGGATGTAGAATAAATTAGTGTGTTAATAAAATATTAATAATAATAAATTCAATTAAGAACAAACGCAAAAATAGCAGCAATTTTTTTTTTTTTTTTATCAAAGTTCAAAACCAAGACAGTTTGAAAAAGCAATATAGCGAGCAGTTTTAGATGCACTGGAACAAATAAAAAGCTACACGCAACACAGCTATGAATAAAGAAGTAAATGAGAAAAATAAAGAGAAAAAATAGAATAAAATAAAACAAAATGAAACAAAAAGCTGGCTCGGCACCAAAAATTCGAAAATTTAAACTTTTTAATAATGCACAAAACTTAAGAACATTTAATACTTAGCTTGCAACTCAGAGTTAAATCACTAAGTATTGAATTAAATCTCTAAAAATCAATTAAAGTTTAAGAATTTTGCAAAATTAAACACAATTGTTCACAGCAAAAAAATTACAGCTTAAAGTGTTGCCACCTTTTTTGATTGCCGCAATTGTAACAAGTTGATCTTGACAACATCTGGTTCCAACAAGACGAGGCTACGTGCCACACAGCACCGAATTATTGCGAGAAAATTTTGAAGAATCGATAATTTCAAGAAGTTATGACATTGAATGGTCTCCAAGAAGTTGTGATTTAACATCATTAGACTACATCTTGTGGGGTTATTTGAAGTCATCGGTCTTTAGCAATAAACCAGGCAACAGAAGTCAATATTAAACGTGCTATTCATGACATACGACTTGATTTAGTAAAAAAAGTAGTCGGTGGGTTCATCGAAATCGTTCCTGCAAAAGAAGTCGTGGAGGCCATTTGAATCATGTTATATTCAGAACTTAATTGCATCGATTGTACTCCACATTAAGTAAAAAAAATTTGAATTTTCTTAACAGTTAGTGTTTTTTTTAATCATATATCATATCACTCTTAATGGAAAATACTTTATTAGAGTATAATTTTTTCAAAGTGGTAGGGTGCTTTGGAGATAAAAAATTTAATGCAAAAGATCAAAAAATCCAATGTTATATACTCGTACATGGGAAAAGAAACATAATTTAGGTACGGTTTAAATTAAAAATAAAGAGCTTATTTATGTTGAATAGAAACATGGGAAAAAACGCACATCCTGATGCAAATATTAGATACAAAATCCAAAAATTAATTAGTTCTTAATTATCTTGCTCAATCATGATTCTGTAACTTTCAAGTACATTTAAAAAAAGTAAGAGCCATTTTAATCGTATGGTAAAAATAAAGCATTAAAATCGCGTGGTCCGTTTTACTACTCTAATGGAAGTTACGATATCTGGATTCAATTATAGTGCACCGTGACAATGTTACGCCGTGGTCATACGTTACGATCAGAAAGACATTCATTTGTCGGGGAATTTCCATCAGGCTTTGGGGGTACTTATTTCAAAACGCTTTATCAAAAACTAGTTATACTTACACATCCAAATACATAGTGATGTAGATCTTTAATTTTTATAATTTAATAAAAGTTGTAATATTAATATTATATTATCCAGTTGTTCGCACTGTAGACACCATTTTTTCAAGGTGCAACGAAATTTCTAGTTATCCGAGCAACAGCAAGTTATATCGTAAAAACTGCTTTGACGAAGCTACAACAAAACCAGGCATTTGGAGAACGCAAAGCGCAAGTTGTAAACGCAAATGCTTACAAGATGACAATAAAAGCATGCCGTACGAGTCCATAGCGGAATCCATAGAAGGTAATGAATTTAGTGTGCCTCAAGATTTAAGTGTGCGCATTAAAAAAAACAGCCTTACATCAAATATCTGCGGCCAAAAAAAGGAAAATGTTGTAGCCTATGATTTAAGTATATCAACGAAGGTTGATGACGAAACAGCAGTAGAAAAAAAATCAATAACACCAGAAGAAGCAGCAAATATAAACGGTTTTGACGTTGAGCTCGGTTGGCAGAATAAAGAAGCAATTGATTTGCAACTAAAACACCTGCTTTATCTTTACCAGATACCGAATCAGCTGAGTTTTGAAACGTATACACAGCTACAAGATCAACATTCATCCGCCATTGGCAGTACTTTTGTTACACAAGCTGACAATAACATATTCCCTTATTTGTCCTTTTTGTTGGCTGCGTCAACCAAATGCCAACCACGGCTATCATCATCAATCCAACCGCCAACTACCGTATCTGGTAATGTTGCCCAACAGCATAAAGTTTCCTTAGACTTCAACCCCGTATCACTTTCTGAACCAGAAATGCCTACATCAACGATGACTGACAGATCAACTCCTGTTACAGCGGCTGCTATTGCAGCATTGACTACCGCAATTGTCGCCCAACAGAATTTGCTCAATATAGTGGAACTTGAAAAGGCTGCAACTCAGCAACGAAACCTCAACAACTGTAAAAAGACAACTACATCTTCCACAAATGTAGTGTCCACTACGAGCGCCAGAGACGAAATTTTGTCATTCCCTACATCGTTACGAATAAATGATAATATTAAGAAGCCCACCGGCTATCAAAAGTTTCTCTTTAAAGAGGATTGCGGTTTTGAGAACTGTGGTTACCGTCAGCGCCAGTCTCACTTTCATTGCGATCGTGTCGATTGCCACTATAGCTTCTGCGACAAGACCCGATTCGTGCAGCACATGGCTCGACACGAGCGCTTGGACACACTAATGGGCAAAGACTTACAACAATATCGCCATAATCTGCGGTGTGATTTTAGCACCTGTGCTTACCAACTGAATAAAGGGTCTGTCAAAACCAACTTTGGCATAAACAAAAAGTCGCATTTTCATTGTTTGAAATGCCCATTTACTTGTACTGACACTAATAAAGTAGGGGCGCATCGTCGACTCCATAATAAAATTGATTATATACGATCATCAGGTTTCTGTGAAGTTCGAAACACCCAGAACTGTGCCCAGCGTTGTGCAGCATTTAGTGTAGGGAGGCCTGATACTAATTACACAAGAACTGGTGACGAGGTGTATGAACGTTTGAAGGATACATTCTCGGCAGCAACAAGTAGCTGTATATACAACAAGAAGTTTACCCATTTTCATTGTCTACTGTGCGGTTGTGGCGTGGTGTCGCGCTCCCAAATGTCAGCGCATCGGCAGAAATCGTGTAACACTGTACTTACACACGCGAATTCGGCAACAGCCACTGCCCCTGTGACGTCGATAATAACAACAACATCGGTAAAAACAGAAACTTGATCAGCTGCGGTAGTCACCACTATCACAACATCAACAACTGCAGCGCCACCCAGATGATGGTTTTACACTCACCGAATCCATCAAAAAATTTATAATATTAGGTCAAGTAAAATATTCGTTCGGTTTTCATCTAAGATATCATGTCATACTATACGGCGCTGAAAACGTGTTTATTCGCGATAAAAGTTTGTCTTTGACAGTTTTTCGATTGATTGGCTCAGTACGTTGTGAGCGCTCGTCTAAGATGGACACCAGCAAAGAGAAAATTCGCTATATTTTACAATTTTTCTTCGATCAAGGCGAAAAAGCAGCCAAGGCGGCTGAAAAAATTAATTTAGTTTATGGGCTCGATACTGTAAACGAACGTGTAGCACAAAAATGGTTTGCTAGGTTACGGCTGCTCGATGTTTGGGTGCCACACGAACTAACGCAAAAAAACATGATGGACCGAATTTCCATCTGCGAATCGCTGCTGAATCGCAACAAAATCGACGCGTTTCTGAAGCGGATTGTGACTGGCGATGAAAAATGGTCACTTACGACAACATCGAGCTCAAACGGTCGTGGTCAAAGTTTGGGGAAGCTGCCCAGACGGTGGCCAAGACCGGATTGACGGCCAGGAAGGTTTTGCTGTGTATTTGGTGGGATTGGCAAGGAATCATCTACTACGAGCTGCTCCCCTACGGCTAAACGCTCAATTCGGCCCTCTACTTCCAACAGAGGCCGAATTGTGTTCCACACACGTCTTTGGTGACGCGCCAGAAGTTACGGGAGCTCAGATGGGAGGTATAGTCCGGACCTGGCACCAAGTGATTACCATCTTTTCCTGTCCATGGCGAAAGCGCTTAATGGTGAGAAGTTGACCTCAAGAGAGGCCTGTGAAAATTGGCTCTCCGAGTTTTTTGCCAATAGGGACGCAACTTTCTACGTGAATGAGTACAATGAAGTTGGCATCTCGTTGGAAACAAGTTTACAAACAAAACGCCGCATATTTGACTTAAATCGGACAAATGTACACAAAGTTATCATCTTTTGAAAATTCAATAAAAAACCGAACGATCCTTTTACTTGACCTAATTTTACCATAGTTGCCAACTTAGTGCTTTTTAAAATTAAAACTTAATATTGAAACTTTTGATAAAAAATAAATCATATTTATCAAAAACGTATTAACCCAAATGAAAGGCTACTGCCTCTGGCGAAAGAACTTTTTACAGATTCTGAAATCTTTTTGTGTTTTATTAATGTTACATGTGTATATTCAAGTTTGTAACAAATTAGTAAAAAGTAAGGAAGGTAGAAAATTCTTTTTTTTAACAGTAAAATTGATCATTTTTAACACCAATTGATAATTTTGAACATTTTAAATTTGATTAAATTCAGTATCTATTCGGTGCACAATATTCTTGGTTAATCTTCTCGTATCTCTAGCTAGCGCAAATAGATTCGATGGTTTTGCTACACGTGAGATTTCAACATATGTATTGTATATGTAGTTGCCCATGGGAAAAACATGGATATTCCAAATGCAAACAGCAAACGGACATTGTTTTGTCTTGAGACTTGCAATTGTATTTATAGACATGGTGATAGCTAAACAAATGGGAAACTGTATCATTTAGAATCATAGATTAAGATGGTATCATTGGCAACAGGGCCATTGCCACTTTAAAGATTTCACTCAAAAAGGTTGCTTTAAGAATATTTCCGGTGATCTTGGTGATGACCGAAAAGGAACCGTTGATTTATTGAGTATTTTTAACCGAGGACTATGTGGTGGCATTCCGGGTATACATATCTATAGAATTTAGAAATTCAATTGGAAAATGTACACGTTAATTTTCAGCAACAACAGTATCGAATGATTTAAATTTGGCCAATATGACAGGATCAGGAGTTTAGGCAGACAAGAAATGTGATACGTAATGTATATGTTTATGTTATATGCCTACTGGGGAACCAAGTATGTAAAAGTATATCGTGATTCCAAGATACCCAAAACTTGTTCCAATCTGAGAGAGAACAATTATGGTATATTACCTTGACACATGAAACTGTTCTGTACAATATGCGTTGCAGTAAACGAAGCAACTGATATATTTTTGGATGTTAGCTAAGAAGTGCTTAGAGTAATTTTCTATCCCAAAAACTAATGAGTGTAATGGATCAGGTGGTGGGACCAATAGTGTCAATTTACTTTACCACCAGCACAACATAATCCTGCAAATTCACGGCTGTATTTTAAAGCATTACAATGTTGAGAAATGATTGACATTTCCCCAATTGTTACAGATTTGTCAGAACTATAATCCACTTCCGGATCGTAAGAGAATGTTCCTCGTTTTAGCTTTAGTGGAGCATTGCGTCTGTGGAATATACCAATATCATTTTTCGTTGCTCGCTGCTATTGTGATCGATTTGCCCGAACTTGTTCCATTCTACGTCTATCTACTTCATTGTAGTTTACTCTTGAACACAATTCTGCCTTACCAATACGACTGTAATCATTATCAGTCTCTGGCTGGTCATCAGTGCGGTTAGCGCGTAAGGTAGCTCGTCGCACATTTGATTGCTAGGTCATTTTCTCCTCCGCATTGTAAACAGTATCAGATAATAATGTTTTCGTGCACTAATAATGGTAACTAAAATTCTGTTTTCGTTTTTGGCGTTAGCTTCAGGACACTTCGCATATATTCAGTGTATGTATGTCTAACCGTTAACAATAACTTTGACATTTCATATACCGATTCAGATCGTTTAAAGTTAAACGCAATAACCAAGTGTCATTATTTGACATGTTTTAAATCTTAATATGCTCTAATCCGATCATTATGGATATATGTTGTAGATTCCAAAATCTTATTAAATCAAAATGTTTCCATATTTGGACTTGGTCCATGCTGGACTTCCACGATTATTTTAAGACTAAAATTAGCCAAATCGGTTCAGCCGTTATCTAGTAGTTTTAGTGAGATTAACGAACAGCAATTTATTTTTATATACACTGCCAAGGACCTTTATAGGGACAAGTTTTTTTGATAATTTTTAAATTTTTGCGATAGAAAAACAAATGAAATCATTTTAAATTTACTTTTTTATTAATTATTTATGTAAAAAAAATATAATAAAATATTTCTTCTATTCTTTTTATACGAGATTTTCGAAAAATTGGTCCAAAAACTGAAACTCATGTTTTTGCTTCAAGAATTTAAAATAAATTAAGAGAGCTAACAAAAAAAAATTGTTTATAAAAATATACATAAGCGTATTTATTAATAATGCGTGCCACCTCATTTGTTGGATATTACTTCATAAAATCTGTTAGGTAAAGAATCAGATACAAGTAGTGACGTATGTAATTCAAACTTATTTCGTTCCAGGCGCTTTTAATAGTATCCATTCTTGATTGTGTATGTGAAAATTGTCTCCAGAAACATACACACGTCGTGTGAGCCATCCCCACACATTATCTATTATATTAAGGTCAGGGAAATAAGGGGGCCAAGCCATTATATCCACATTTTGTTGCTGAATACACGACTTTACAAGTTTTGCGGTATGAATCGGAGCATTGTGATGTCGAAAAGTCCATGAGAATGACCCGAAAGAGGGTTGAAGAATTGAAACGCATTTTCCAATAAGCCTCTGTAACGATTTGGATTCATTTTTCATGTCACAAATTGAAGATCGAATGTTCCATAATATGAGATTGCACCCCATACCATTATACCCCTTCGCGACTGTAATGACGAGCCAAATCATGTTCCTCCTTCCTAATGTCATTAATATATAACACAACTCGATGCCTGTCACTACTCCACGTCATGTGATTCCGAGCGAAAAGTTGTCGAGCATCTTTGCGCTGTTTATTAAGTGTATTGGGAGTTTTTGCTTCAATTTTAATATTTTTAGGTGTTCTGCTTTGCGTATAACTCGCCTTTTTGTATCAATACTTGCAGTTATACCCAACTCTGAACGAATTTTTTCAGAAGAACATTGCGAGTTTGAAGCTGCTCGAATAATCCGCCAGTGTTTAACGAGCGTAACCGTTTTTTTTTAGTGCGTCCTTTCATATTCTTACCATAATTATTGACATTCTGAAGAAAATTGCCTACAACCGTTTTGCTTCTATAAATTTAAGTAAGGTAAGCGCTAGTGATGAGCGAAGTAGCGTTTTTTAAATCATAGTGATTTTTTATAGCTATTGCGATTGCTACTTTTCTTAATTACATTGATATGTTAAGTAGTTCTAACAAATGACAGCCTGCTATAAAGCCGAAATAAAAAATATAATCTCAATTAAAAGGAATTAATTATAATGTAATCAACAAAATTCAATTAGTTTGGATTTTTATTTAATTAATACTGATATATGTGCCAATATTAATAAAAATAATCTCATGAAAATAAGTTTACAAATTTATAGACCGTTCAGATCGTAAATGGAATAATATTTATTTGTCAAGAAAAGAAACAGTTTTTTGGCTTTTAATAATGAAAATAACAATAATATAATTTTGATACCACTTACAATATGAATATCCATTGATCCAGTGCGATATTTTCGACTGCTTATTTCTTTTATGGGGTACTCAAAAGTTTTTAGCACAGTAACTAAATCCTTTAGCTGCAACCATTCGTCAGGATTTATTAGAGATAATTCCTTATCTATGAGCGCGGCAGTACTTTTAACGGCATCTACCGCTTTAATCAGCTTCCAGCGAGTATCAACACTTTGAATTAGTTTTAAAGGCTCGGTACCAGCATTGCGATGAAAACTCATAAATTTTTCATTTGTAGAAGTCATGACCACTTCTACTTGCTTTAACAATTAAATTTAACGTATGCTCAAAAGCCGAAGTGGCGTAGTTTGAGCACATTTGCAAGGCACTCTTTATATTGTTTGCGTTATCAGATGCTGTCAATATTATTTTATTAAATTGAGATTCTTTGTATTTGTTCGGCTTAATTTTTGGCAGTATGTTCCTCACTCATTGGAAAGCAATCCAATAATATATTACTAAATTCAAAATTTTAACTAACAAAATGTAGTGTAATTGCTATGTAACTTGTATTGCGAGATGTTCAACAATCCGTTGTAAAGCAGAATTTAACACCGAATGCCGAAGTTATTGTTCTTGATACAACATGTCGACTGGGCAGATCATATGCAGGATTTAGCGCTTTATCAAATTGAATAAATCCGCTGTCCTCGACAATGCCAAAAAATATAATATGTATTTAATGAAGAGCATTTGCAACGCATCATCAATTTTCTTTTTTGACTTTGCAGAAATCTTCATATTGCATATCCCGGCAGATATTTTTCGTTTGCGCAGAACAGGTTCTGAAATCATATTAAAATCTCCTTACCAAAATGCGAAGCGAAAAATGTTATGTTTTACCGTATTGTACATTTGTTTTCGTAACATCATGATGTGCATCTGATTTTTCCGTCGGTTGAATTCCTAGTTTTTACACTGTCGCTGCTCCCGGATGCTCCACTGTTGGATGCCGATTCTGCATATGCTTTTTTTAATTTGTATTCGACGCTTTATACGATATATCTTTTTTTGCAAATTTTGCATTTTGCATGCGTTTCATTTATCTTATAAGAAAATTGCAACATTTCACTTCGTTTTTATTTAATTTAAAAGCAATTTTCACAAAATTTAATAAATATCAAGCTAAAATATTTATTTTAAACAACCGTTTAACGGAATTAAATAAAAAGTAATGCATATATACTTACTGTGAATAAAAAAGTATTCAAATTTACAATTTTTACCTCGAACACCAAAAAATCACCACACGCAATTTCTGTTCATCAGCTGCTGCCAGTTCTAAATTCCATTCCATTCATGGTTAAATACTTGTAGTGACATTTAGAAGTAGAAAAATCACAAATCACTGATATTGTGGGCTATCAATAGCAGTAACTTTAAGCGATTTTTGAATCACAGTGATTAAATCACCGGTGGTGAAACATCGTTAATCACTATTTTGCACTCTCTAAATGCCAATATTTTTTTCCTTTGCTGTAAAAGCTTTACCACGACCCAGCATTTTTTTAGAAGTAAGATTTACAAGAGTTATCAATCAACAATGTTAAAGCAATTGCCCTGCAACTGTTCCTATTCATGTGCACGCAAATTGAGAACATTTCTCA